AAACATAAGTACTGACCAGGCTCAGAGGCTCAGCCTGTAGTCCCAGTATTTTGGGAGACCGAGGCGAGTGGATTGGCTGAGCCCATGGGTTCGAGACCAGCCTGGGCGACTTGGTAAGACCTCATCTCTACAATAAATTAAAAATTAGCCAGGCATATAACGCACGTCTGTAGTTGCAGCTACTTGGAAAGCTGAGGTGGACGGATCGCCAGAGCCCAGCTGGTTGATGCTGGGGTGGCCAGAGTGTGCCTCTGCACTCTAGCCTGGGCGACAGAGTGAGACTCCAACTCACAAAAAATAAGTAAATGCTGTCTTGTTTACTGCTTTACCTAGCATAACAGAAACATGGTAGCTGCTTAGTATTATTGGACAGATGAGCAGTGAATTCATTTTACGCAGGTGCAGTCCTCTTAGATTGTTGCTCTTGTACCATAGTTGACTGGAACTTTATTCTTTCATAAGTAAAACAAACATTAATCCTGAGATTAAAGATAGCAGTGGTGATCTTAATGTCTTAGCATTATGCTTAGCATTATTTGGGCATGCATCTCAACAAGTCCTGCTCTTACATCTCATGGGTCATAACCATTTATGGTAGTAGAAATGCAGTATGCTTATAATATGTTAGAATTAAAGTCCCAAGAGACAATGTAGAAATAACAAAATTACTCAAAAACTGTAAGATACATTGCTACCCATTACCGCCCATACTCAAGTGTATAATATACTAGGTTAATTCCTTAGATAGACCCTGGAGAGACACCCTCCTAAGTAGCTGCTGCTCTTATTTAACCCAGTTTGTAAGAGCATGCCTTATAACAGTGAATTTTGAATTTTCTGTCCTGTCCTGTGTGGCATGCACGTTGCTAGGGTATTTCATCGACTGACTTCATCTGTAGCATTTCGTGTTCTGCAAGGGACAGCCTGCAACTATGCGGTTCCTTTTCTCATCTTAGGAGGCCTTTTTGAAGGAATTATAACCTGCCTCCAGGTTTCCTCTTTATCACTTCTACTCCATAGATGCAAGAATTATGATGGGTTTTGGGGGGGGTTGTTTGTTTGGTTTGGGATTGAGGGGGGTGTTTTCTGGGTCTCACTCTCACCCAGGCTGAAGTGCAGTGGCATGCTCACAGCCACCCCAGCGTCAACCTGCTGGGCTCAGGCGATCCTTCCACCTCAGCCTTCCAAGTAGCCAGAACTACAGGCGCGTGCTACCACACCCAGCTTTTTTTTTTTATTGTAGAGATGAGTTCTAGCCAAGTTGCCCGGGCTAGTCTCGAAACTGCGGACTCAGGCAATCCACTCACTTCGACTTCCCAAAGTACTGGGATTACAGGCTAAGGCACCGAGCCCAGCCTATGGCGTCTTGTTAGATAGTATTTTCCCAAGCTGAATCGGGGAGACTGTACCACTGCCCCATGACTGCTCTTCTGGAAAGTTACTGTACACCCTCTTCCTCTAATGGAAAAGTACAGCAGATCTCTTTTATAGACATAGATCTAGTATATCCAATAGTTCCTACAGCCTGTTAAACTCTGTGATGCTCCAACCTAGCACTGCAGTTGCCATATCCTCTTAAAGTTCTCTATTACCTGTTAGCTAAGAGAGAATAATTATTATGTAATTGTATTTTATATTCTAAAAATCATATTCAAGGTAAAATGTCAATTGTTTATTATTCTCTTAGCTTTCATTAATAAATGGAGTCATTATCCTTTTATATTTATATTACATAAGATTGACTTGAGTTTTTATTTAAACCTTTACATTTTATTTTTGCTCTGATTATCTTCTGAATCTTTCTTAGCAACTAGCAACTAGCGTAAGTAGTCCTGAATGGACCACCTGCCTTCTGCCTTCTTATTATTTTATCTGAGTTTAATAATTGAGAGGATAAAAAGAAAAGAATTCTTTAGATTTGTATTATGTACTTGCTGTGTGTCCACAGCCTCTCTTCCCCTACCACCTCTCCACGTTTCTCCTTCAGTTTAATGTCTCCTACCAGGAGAGCAGAATTATGGCTAAAGATTTTATTCCTCTTACTGGCAAATTGTTAGTCTAATGAAACCAAAGTTGATGTTGGGTGTATGTTTAGATTATCGCAGAGATCAGGTAGATACTTCTTCAGTGTCTTGCAGGAAACCTCCGTTTTCTTGTTCTTTATTAGTAGTTGGAAAAGAAGTGGTCCACCATCATGGGACTTTGCCTGTCACCACTCCCAGAGATGACCCCCTCTGTATGTACCAGAAAATAATGGCTCTGAAGAAAAATGAAATAGTGACTCTGGATAGTCCTTATCCCTTCGGATTTCATGTTCCATCATTTTCTAAGTTTTAGAATGTCACAAAATCTGCATTTTCAAATAAAACGTATATGTGCCCGTTGCCTGTTTCAACAATACCTTTGGTTTGTATTACAATTTGTCATCAGTCTTGATAAACTGAAGTGAGGCATTGTTTAAAATCTATTGTAGGGAAGACAGTTAAGTAAATTACAACTTTTCCTATGAAAGGGTTAGTGCTAACAATTGAAGCATATTTGTATTTGTAGAGCCTTTCTTTTGAAGCATAAATGCCTTTATTATTTAATTCTAAAAAAAAAACTATGTATATAAATGGGTAATATCTTCTTTTTTCAGGGGGTATTAATGCCCACCCTGCTTAAGTGAGTTGCCCAAGGTCACTCAGTGAGTCGTTGGTGAAGCCAGAAATAGAATCCTAGTCTCCTGACTCCCAATTCAGTTCTGTATCCTCAATGTAGTTTTCTATCCTCTATGCCCCTGCTGTCTCTCATGGGAAAAGAAGTTAATCTTCCAGCTATTAATAGTCACCAATTTGGTGGTAGCAGCACAGCGGAGAAAAGTAACTGTCTTTACACTGCAGCATTATTATAAAAATATCTGGTAATGGAAAATTTGACAAATGTCATGTTAAAGGGAGTGGAAAATTATTTTAAGATCTGGGTCTCATTTATCTGGTTCTCAGAAAAAGTAAAATTCCTTAGTAGAATAGGGATCATATTTTTCTTCCTGTTTTTGAATTGTATTTCCTAGAGGTAATTGTCAGCCTAGCCATAGTAGAATTTATTGTCAACTAACATAATAAGAATAATGCATGTATTGTTGATGATTGCTATAAGTGTATTTTCTAACTTGGCTGAAAATTTGAATTGCTTTATTGAAATAGCACTTATTTTATTCTGTCTTTTATTTAAGTTAGTAGTGTATAATCAAGCAAATATAGCATCAACTGGGTACTTGGCTTCATGATTAAAAAACATGGGCAGAAATATATATTATGGTTTCTTCCATAAACAATACACTATAAGCAAAGCCACTTGTATCAGGCACCATGAAATGGTGAAGTTCACCAGAATGAAGTAAGCAGAGTAGAAAAAAATTAATTTTGAAAATGTAAAATAAGCACACTGGAGTTGACTAAGTGTATTGTTACATATGTTCTCAGTTTATTATTTCCGGCATCAAGAAAAGGTGTTTGACAGGTGTTTGTATATTTAAATATTAAGCATTAAATACTAAATCTAGTATTGTGGTACTTCACACTAAGTTCTCAGTTTGCTTCAGTTTGGACCAATGACCAAGAATTACTCTAAAAATATCTGGATATTATGTTTCGTTTAAAGATTACTATATTCTTTAACAAGAAAGATGACATGCTCAGAATTATGTTCTAACTATAAGTGTAAGAAAGACGGGATTGGTAGAAGCTGGGAAATTCATGGGAAAGGCTAAAAAAAATTATAGTTATTTGGTACTCAGATGAATGAGATGGTACTTGTAAAAGAACAATAAGAAATATGAAAACATGTATAGAATAAGACAACTAGCAGATCAAGTGTGACTGCTTAGGAAAAGGTATACATGTACTGAAGGAGGGAAAGAGGAACACAGATGCTGGAAAAGCCGTAGAGATACAATTTTAAAAAGCTACAGAAATTGTAGAATGAGGTGAGAAAAGATCCCCAAACTCAGTGGCCTCTTGACATCCAGAAGATATGCTTTTGCAGAGTGATGAGAGTCAAAGCACCCAGAACTCTGAATTATGTTCATCTGTCTTGGATATTAAATCTCTTGCAAACCGCCAAATTATGTATGATACACGAGACAAATCAGTTGACTGGAATGCTTAATTGGCTACAATTGTCTCTCAGTATACTGGGTGTAGGAGGTTGGTCGTAGGAGCCCCTGTGGATATCAAAATCCACAAATGCTCATGTCCCTTATATAGAAAGATATAATATTTGCATGTACTTGTACACATCCTCCCATATACTTTAAATCATCTCTAGATTATTTACAAAATCTGATGCAATGTAACTGCTATGTATAGCTGTCATACTGTATTTTGTGTGTGTGTATTTTGTTGCTGTATTGGTATTTTTTATTAGTTTTCTCTTTCTGAATAATTTTGATCTGCAGTTGATAGAATCTGAAGGTGCAGAACCTACAGCTGTGGATCTACAGATAAAATTCTTACTTTCACTTGGAATTTTACTGGTTATTGCCATTCTTGCTCATTTCAATTAGACTTCTACTCAATTAGTAATAAATTGGAGATATTTTACCATAGAATAAATGTTCATGTCTGTGCCTACAAATGTTGAATACCTTTTTTTTTTAATCTTAAGCCCAAATCAGACATGAAGCTGGAAATTGCTTCTAAATTTTGTTGGAATTGATTAGAAATTATTTTATGATTATCCAATATCTCAAGATAGCTGTCCCTGTAAACCAATGTTGATACTAGCAATTTGTCGTTTATTTTGTTATAAAAATCTCTTTATAATGAGTTGACTAACTTTATTTAAAATTTTTACCAATCAGCCATGTTTGTTTTATTCTTTCCAAACTTATTTTCTTTCAGATTTTTTTCAATTGGTAGAAAACTACTTTATTATTAGAGTTTATTTTTAAAGTAATGAGGTTATTGGAAAATGATTTAGGAAACATTATTGAGCATCTTTTTAATTTGGTTGAACAGGCACATCTTCAAGTGACTCTGATCTACTTAAAATTCTTCCACAAAAAAGAACTCGGAGAAAACTAATGCCTTCTCCTTTCAAAGCACAACATACTCCAAAATCTTCACCGTCAAAAAGTATGCAGCTCACTGATTCTCTCAGCAAAGAACTTCTGCCTATTACATATACTCCAGAAGACAGTAGAGGAACTTTTCAAAATCTATCTATAGCTACCTTAATAAAACCGTCACAAACTACAGGTTTTCAGGCCATCAGCTCAAACATAAACTGTGAGAATACTCTGGAAAAGTGTGAAGTAGATATCCCTCTTAACAGGAAAACAGAATGTAAGGATTTGCATTCTACGTTTACTATATGTGAAGACACCAAGAGCTTGAAGAGTAAATTACCTGAACAAGAATCACTATCAAACAACAACAAAAACATTTTCCAACGGTACAAAAAAAGAATATTTACCTTTTTTTTCATAGCCTTTCTCCTTTATCTGTATTTCTGGTTTATATCATAGATCAAATGTGCTATTTTGATTACAAAATAGTATTTTACTTTTATTAAACCTTTAATTCTCTTTCCCTCTGAATAGTGATTCATTAACATGGTATTTTTTTATTAAATATTATTTTATTATAGAGATGTGAATATTAACTTCACCAGTAGGCTGCATGCAGGGAAAGTTTGAGCTTCAGACTGGCCCTCACTCCTCCTGGTATAGGACCAAGTACCCTCTGTGTACTCCCCACCCTCATGTCTCCCTCCCTCCTCTAACAGTGCCCAGCGACTCCCGATCCCTCATGCTAATGTGATGAATGCACTCACACAGTATTGTAAAGTATTACATTTGATATTTTAAGTAAGCTGACCCTCATTAGACTAGGAGAAATCCTAAGATTTATTTAGTTCTTCTTACTTCAAAGTTAGATAATACCAGCTATCATCGGAGTGTCACATTTGTTACATTTATTGTCTTCCCCGAAGAAAATTCTAGTTTCTATTGATGTTTAGCAAACCTTAACTTACTCTGAAAATAGTCATACATCTAAGGAATGACTGTGTGTACATCATCCAAGCAAACATCTTTCTCACTTCACCTACATAATCACACCCAATCTAAATACAGGATGAAAAATACCTTCCCTTTCCAATGTCATTGAGATAGCAACTCTACCTACAGTATTAAAAAGGGGGAAAAAACCCCAGGGCAAGCGAGGGAAGTTTTGCAATATAGAAGAATCATTTTATAAATGTATTAAAACCAAATTGTTTTCTCTAATTGTGGAAGTATCTGTCTCTCTTTTTTAGTAATGTAGTTCAAAATTAATCATTTTTATTTGTTACTCTTCAATTTATAGGCTTGACCCTTCTTCATTCTCAACTAAGCATTCTCTGCCTGTACCAAGCATAGTACCGTCCTACATGGCATTGACTGCTGCTGCCAAAGGGAAGCGGAAATTGACAAGGTATGATTAAACATAGACTGGTGGAGTCTCTATATAAAATTATATAAGATTGCCTTTGTACTTCGTTTTCTGCAGCTTTTTCATTTCTTGTCATTAGACTATCATTTCATATTCTCAGCATAGTTACGGCAAATTGCTCTGAAAGAGGTACCAGGTTTTTATTATTAAAGGGAGATACTGAAAAAACTCAAGTATTTCATTTGATATTTACCTAAGGTTTTCCATATTTTAGATTATTAAAAATAATTTGAAAAATGTTCTAACTTACAGAAATGTCATTTAATTTTAACTTTTCTTTGGGTGACAATTTTTACTCATTTCTTCCTTTTAGACATGACTAAAGTGATTTCATCCTAGAATTTGGTTATTTTAATGGAATTGGTATATAACTAAAATATATGTGAGTAAAGAAACTTCTATTTCTGGCTATTACAGTGTAGCCGTCAAGAGCAATTATAAAAGCTGGGTAAATTACAATTAGCAGCTGCTTGAAGGCACTGAAGAACAAGCAAGGCAGCCAGGACTTGAGAGTCTAAGATGCCAGAGAAAGTGGAAGCATGCTGTAAAGAGCCAGCCTCTCTGCCTTTCCTTTCCATTTAACATTTACCAATCTGTGGCATAGGCACAGATGCCGAGCAGAAAATGGAAACTCAGAGCTAATAGCAGTCTCTCCAAGCGAGGGAAATTAAATCATCCTGTGCAGTTTTTGCCCTCCTATTCACCAAGCTCTAAACTTTCTAGAGTAAGAGACGACAAAACCAAGCTGAAAGTACCTGCTAGGATGCTAAATTAGAGTTTTGATGTTCTTATTGGGCTTTGACACAAAAATTGGAGTTTAGGGACCATCCTGAAGAAGACACTCTGTTAAACCTCAGGATTTTCTTGATATCCCTAAAGGCTATTTCTCTAGGAATAAGACAAACTAGAAATAGACCTTAAACACTTGGATTGAATCAAAGTGATTGAGCTTTATACTCTTCCTGTTTGCCAGAAGAAAATTAACTCATCTCTAAAAGATTATATCATCCAGAGCCTCTGCAATTTTTAATACCAGCATTTGGCACTTAAATAAAAATTACTAAGTATGCCAGGGAATAGGACCAAATGACTGAAAATCTAGAGAAAAAAAAATTAGAGTAGTTATGATTCCTAAGTGATACATATAGGGATTATCAGATAGGAATTTTTAAAATTTAACTGTCATTAATTTAGACAAAATAATAATTTCCCAAAGAACCAGATTCTATTCAAATGAGTCAAATGGATATTCTAGAAATGAAAAGATAGAATTTATTGAAATTGGGCACAGAAGAAGAGAGTTAGTCGTGAACTAAAAAGTAGATTAATAGAAAAATATCCAAATTGGGACACAGAAGTATAAAAAGATGGAAAATACAGAGGCGTGAACAAGACATATAGGACACAATTTAAAAGGTCTGGAAAATATGTATTTTGAGTCTTAGAAGGGAATGAGAAATAGAATGGGGGAAGAAACAGTAGTTTAGGAGGTGACAGCTAATAATTTTTCAAAATTAATGGATGACATTAAATCACAGATTTGTGAAGTATTGCAGGTCACAAACAAGATTAATGCAAACAGAAACATACCTAAGTACATTGTAAACAACTGAATACTAAAGCCAAGGAAAAAAGTTTAAATTTACTGAGTTATGACTTTCTTTGTGTCCTACAAATTGAATGCGGTAACAAAATGTGCTGAATAAGTATAAAATGCATCTAACTTGCTCTACCTTTTTTTCTTTGCTATATGCTTCTAGAAGAAAGGTGTAAGACCTCAAAAAAACTTTTTTAAAATTTGTTTTCCACCATGGGCCTATTATCATCTGGGCTGGAGGACATAAGTTTACAAATAGCCTTCATATTTGTGTTGCATGGAGTATCTTCTCATGGGTGAATTCAGGTTCTGTCCTAGCTCTAGCAAAACAAAATACAGTGGACTTGGAAACATTTAACATTCATGGGTTAATTTTTCCTGAATGACTCTGTCTGTGACTTTTAAAAATTTGTATTCTGCTAAGGTGAAAGCTTGAATTGTGCAGAAAGTCTGGTTTATATATGTGAGTCTGCCACTTTATAAGTGAGCCTACCTAATCACCAACATCTGTTTTATCCATCTTGTCACTAAGTTGCGTTGTGTCAGTTTTGTCTTTCATTCCACTAATTAATGTTGGAGAGTTTTCTGGTCCTTCACTGGCAGCATGTTATGTGTGCTAAGATGTAGCAAAGTTTATAACTAAGAATAATTTTTAATGTAAACATAGTACTTATCAAATTAAAATGGTTTTTCAAGAAATGTCCAGGTATGTAAATTGTATATTTGGAGTGGTTTTAGATGAGTTAAAGAGCTTCCACGTGAGCAACTAATATTAGGAAATAATACTAAAGGACATGTAAAGAAAGTTACTTGCTCTGTGATATACCCTCTGGTACCAATAATTAGATCCTGCCGTTAAGTAAGGTTAAAAGAGATTAATGCTAGAAATGTACATAATTACTTTTTTTAATCTTCCTTTTCCCCAATTAAAGCGACATGATCTTGAGAGTAATAAACTCTGGTATTTTCCACTTAACAGCTTTATATACATATTTATGTGTATCTACTCTAGTACGGTTTAAAAAATAAAGAAGGGAAAGCTCTCTGTATTTTATTTATTTTGCATCAATTTTTATCTCTGAAAAAATTATATCTAAAAACCTACCAAAACCTACCAAAATTAGTTTTGTTAGTACATTGAGAATATTATAATTTTGATCTAAAAAACTTATTTTATGTTACTATAGAAGACTATTTTACTAAATGAATCAGGCTACCAAACATACAAATGTAATATGTACATATGTTAACTTTTGTTTATAAATTATATTAATCAGAAATGTGGTTGTTTGATTGTTTTGTGTTTATTTGGTTGGTTGGTGGGTTTGTTAGTTTTTCTTTGGTTGGTGTTTTTTGCTTGTTCCACAGTCTTCTTACTACCCCAAAATGGTCTTAACACTTGCCATACATGTTTTGTTTGCTTTGAAAGATGCCTGATGATTCTAATTAGAATGTGAGCTGTATTATGTTTATCGAGCCAGAAGCATTTTACCTATGCAAGGGAGCAAGATGTTCATTCTTAGTTTTTATTAATAGTTATGGAAATATATTTGATACACAACTGGAAGCATCTTTGAATCTCTTCTCAGTATAGTCTTTGACATAATTTAAATTTGCGTTTGTATCAATTTTATGTCCTTTTAGTTTATGATCTAACTTATAAACATTAAACATTTTATCAGTAGGCTATTATCTAAATTCTAAAAATATTTGGGTATACTTTATTTATATTTAAATATGCAATTTATTTTATTACGGTTGGATTTTCTTTCTAGAAATATGAGTTTTAATCAAATTAGATGTATTAAAAGAGCTAATTTACAAGTAAGAGAATGCTGTGAGTAAACAGTAAGACCCTAGAACTAACCAAGTGAAGAATCATACCATAAAATAGTAAAGACAGCATTAAGATAAATTGTAAGAAAAACAACATTTTATCAAAAGTAACCAATAACATTTATGTTTATATTTGAAGAAATCAAAAACCAAACAACTAAAAGAATTTCTACCTTGGACAGCTGATATATTTATTATCAAAAAGAATGTTTAATATTCAAAACAGAATCATAGTAACTTAATTTATTCATAACCATAAATAATAGAGGGGGCCTACTGCAGTTGTTATATTATTTGTACATACGCGTTTATGATTATTTCTTGTTAAACTATATCTTTTTTATGCAGCTGAATAGTTCCTCTTATGTACAGTTTCACTTTCTGTGGTCTCAGTCACTTGTGGTCAATAGCAGTTCAAAAATAGGTGATGAGCATACAATAAGATATTTTGAGAGTGAAAGCCCACATTCATATAACCTTGTTAAAGTAGATTTTATAATTTCTCTATCTTATCATTAGTTATTGTTGTTAATCTCTTAATGTGCCTAATTTATAAACTTGATCATAGATGTATATGGATAGGAGAAAACATAGTATATATAGGGTTTGGTACTAGCCTCAATATCAGGCATCCACCAGGGGTCTTGGAAGGTATTCTCACATGGATATGGAAGGACTACAGTCTAGTTATCCAGAAATTCCCTAAAACTTGCTTATTTAAATCAGTATGGAAGGGTGTTCATCCATCACCCAGCCTCCAGCCCTGCCTGTTTAAACTTGAACTTCCTTAGGACTAGAGAAGATTGCTGTCTTTCAGAGCCTAGATCAAACTCATCCACAAAATTTTCTGGTTTTATTTCTTCTTCTAAACTCATGAATCTATAGCTCCTTGTAATATGAAAACCTTGGTACTGTACTTTTACTCTACCTTTCTTATTTGGCTTATTTTTTTCCCCATCTCTACTGTGTGTCCATTGTATAAGTTTTCTGGACAAGCATTGTTTGTGCCTTACTTCTTTTGTACATTCTGTAACATGAGGCCATAATAAGTGTTTAGTAATATGTCAACTCACATTGAGTTGGAAATTTGTCCCATTGACAATGTAAAATTTATTAAACTTTTGAAAGTAGAGTAAGTGAAAATAGGGCATTCTTTTTATTTTGGTTTTTATAATTGTAATAATCAAGATGTCTTTGTTCTGTTACCATGCTTTGATTTAAAAACAAAGTTTTCAAACAATCTCACTTGTTTATACTTTTCAGGCTAGAGTTCTTGATCCAAATTTGAACATGAGCTTAGTTTTTCACCTCTTGTGACTATGTATGACTTGTCTCTACACTTTAAATAACAGTGCTTGCTTATATTTCAGCAGAACACCCTGGAAATACTCTGCTACAGAATTGTTACATATACCTACAATAGTAACATTCAATTCGAATAAACATCAATAAACCACCAACAGCTAATTTTCTGTGGACCAAAAATGTATTTAGTACCTCCAGTTACTTCTGTGGGATTTTACAGCTTAATATGTCTGTATTTACTTTTTAAATCATTGTTGCCTATAGAATATAAATTAGAACTTAGAGGTATTAAAAAATGCTTAACTAAAATAGTTTTTTTCCTTCAAGTTCTGCATCAAATACTTCGTTAACTGCCAAACGTATTCGACAAGATAATTCAAGTGATAAGCACTTACAAGAAAACAGACCAACAATAGGTATGTCTCAGCTCTTAATTTGATATTGAACGACATTACCGCCAAATGTTAATACATACAATGCTTTACATTTTTATAATGTTTTCATAAGAATCTCCTTTTCTCTATTCATAACCTTTGTTATGTGGTAGAGCAAGTATGGTTTTCCTCATGTTACATAAAAGGAAATTTAAGACACAAAATATAAAACACTTACCCAAAGATCACACAGATATTTTTATGGGGGAGTCAGAACTCAGAACCAGATTTCCCAACACCAACTGTATGTTCTACACCTTTTTTCTTATGCTTGCTGCCTCATATTGCAGAAGATTTGGCAAATAATTTAACCAATAACTGAAATAATTAGCTAAATGTATTATGTTAACTAAGTTACTTTTAAGTATATTTTATGGATAAACTACACTCACTTGAAATTTTTCTTTTAGCCTCTTATTTGTAATAACTTGCCTTTGGCCCATCTGTGTAACTACTACACAGGCTCCAGTCAATACCAGTTACAATTATATTATAACTCCCATTAGCAGGTTGGCAAAGACACTAATGGAGATCACTACATTTCCTCAGCTTCATATGGGAAAGACTTGAGTTCATGGCAACAAAACCACTTTAGGTTACTAGAGTTCCATCATCAACCCGATTCTAGGCCTTGATACCAAGACCTCTGTCTCTCTGACACTGTACGAGGGGGGAACCCAAAAAAATGGGATTTATTTATTTTGAAAAGTATGTATTTTTTCTAGTCTTACATGTTTAAACAGCAGTTACTTTCTATGTACTCTCTATTTGATGCAGTACACCTACTGAGACACTTTTTCCACTGCTCTAAACAGTTTTTGAACTTTTTTTGTTTTGAGTCAAAGTCTTGATCTGTCACCCAGACTGGAGTATAATGGCACGATCATGGCTCACCACACCCTCTACCCCCTGAGCTCAGACAATCCTCTGTCTCAGCCTCCCAAGTAGCTGGGATCACAGCCATGCGCCCCCATGCCCAGCTAATTTTTTTATTTCTTTGTAGAGATGAGGTTTCACTATGCCTCCCAGGATGATCTTGAATTTGGTGGCTCAAACAATTCTCCCACCTTGGCCTCCCAAAGTGCTGGGATTACAGGTGTGAGCCACCATGCCTGGCCTTTCCTAATGTTTCTTTGAATTCATCAATTTTGATGCCTTTTAGTAGTTCTGCCATTTTTTTTGTTTGTTTGTTTCACCTCTTCCACATCAGCAAAACATTTCCCTTTGGGGACTCTTCTCATCTGGAGAAACAAAAGAAAAAGTCACTCAGGGCAAGATCAAGTGAATGGGGGTCGTGCCATTTTGGTCAAAAACTGCTGAATACTCAGGGCAGTGTGGGTAGCTCTTCTAAATCACCCATCATAAAATGGGCAAACACACTAAAAAAATCTCAAAAAAAATTCACTGAAGCTGAGCACAGCCTCTCACAACAACACTAGCCGAAACTCTGATGCTGATAGGTTCCTAAAACACTAACCTAGCAGAGGAAGCCTGTACTACAAGAGGCCTGCCTTCCAAAAGATAATTCTGGAGTTTTGGGGGGGTCCCCCTCATAATTCCTCAGACTTCATTCAGGCATTCACCATGTGCTACATCCTGAGATGACTACAAAGACTAATTTGTTTCTTCTTTAAAGTTCCTTATAAATATAGCAGCTGGAACTTAAAGAGGGGGCTCATTAGATAATGAGTGTTTCTAAAAATAATATGAAAACTATTGTTACTTTTTTCTGTCAGTGCTATTTGATTAGAGTAATAAAAAATTTCTCAATAACTTTGCCAAACTTATTTCCTCTAGTAGCCAGTAGCAGTTGTTTACCTGAAGTTCAATGGAAATACCTTTTATACAGATTTAAGAATCAGACAGTTAGGCACTAAAATGTAAAATGTACTGTGATTATTTATATATAATAATGCTTAGCAATGTGTAGCTATAGTTGTCCTACAGATATGTACTACCCCACTGGTCTTCTGAAAAACTTCTTCAAGAAGTCATAATTCTACAACCATGTAAAATAATTGAGAAAAATTCTCAAATCATAGAAATTTGGTTTTACTAATTTCTGTTGTCTAAGCATAGGAAAAAATGCATCAGATATCTCAAGTTTAAAGAGAGATGTGTGAAAATATCTGCTACGGAGAAAAATGTGGGAGATGATACTAAACAACAATGTTTGTCAAAGAGGAAAAATTAAAAATTACAATTTATTAAGGACAATGGAGCTCTTAAAAAGAGGTATTTGTTTGTATAGGAAGATAATATTTATATGCATCAGAATATCCAAGTGAAATGCCCCAGTGTGTAAGAGAATAAAAGAGAATTGAGGCTGCCTTCTTATAATGTGTTCACCTAAGTTGAAACAAAGGACCATCAGTGGAAAAGAAGGCAAATGCCGAGCATTCAGCGAAGTAAGAAATAGTGTCAAGTGAACATGTACCTCTAAAACTAAACCCTAATGTGACCACAAGAATGAATAAGCAACTACACTGATCCTGAAAAAAGTCCATGGCACTCTGTAGTAACAACACTTGTACTGAGTAGAAAACCCTTGTGTAAGCCAAGAACCAGAAGAATGAGCATATGTAGCACACATGAGATGGCACTGAGAGAGAGAGGTCTGTGGGATCAGGATCAGCTCTTAGGAAGTGCTAGATGTAAATGATATGTTTAAATTGGAACTATACAGAAGTTTAAAAGTCCTGGGCAAATAATCCAGAGAATGGGAAACATTGATGATAGAAGAAGAGGGAACAAATGCTTGTGGAAATCTTTTATTAGTCAGACAGAAAGAAGGTGACTGTAGTAGTTCACACAGAGACTTCACTTGGTATCTGTCTGTGTGTGCTCTGGAAACTTTAGTTTGCAATATGAAGAAATGAATTTGGCAAACAACCATCAAACCAGAGGTATCAGTGTTTCTGGGATTATCTTTTAAATTATGTTAATTAACAAGTATGACTATCAGGAATTTCAAGAGTAAATTTTTCTTTCTACGGATGAAAGAAGTTCGGTGCCAGTAATGACTCCACACCCGGCCAGGACCAAGAGATTTATTAAAGTGGCTGTTACAGAGGGGATCTGTAACGGGAAAAAAGAAAATGAGAGAGAGTAAGAGAGAGAGAGGAAGTGGGGGGGGAGAGATAGAAATAGATATATGCTGGGAGAGGGCTGTATTTACTAGCCTGACAGGGGCCGGAAGGGGTTGTGCTAGGTTCTTATTGGAGGAGCGGCATGGGAGCAGGGCGGGGCCAACGCCGTGTTATAGTCCTATTGGACGCATAACAAAGCTGGCTAAGGATTGGAGGTTTGCAGGTTTGAAATTCGCACGGGAAGGTTTGAAATTTACGCGCGGGGAATTGTGCTCACAGAAGCCGGGACCTGAGGCCTTTGTTGTCTGGTGTGTCAGCACCATTTTGGGAGCCGCCCCTCTGGTCGCTTCCTGCACCCTTCAACGGGTATGTATAGTTTTCAGTAGATTTTTACAAGTTGAATGAATGGTGAAAACTTTTTGAATGATACTTTTGCCATATTTATGCATCTTTTTTATTTCTTCTAGAATATAAAAGAAACACCTATAAAATAAGTCCAAGCGTGGTGAGAAAATTTGGAAGAAGCATTTCCAAAGAAAATCTAAGATAAATGACCTTGAAATCAAGAAAAATGAAATTGTTCAAGTCTGCTTTTAAAAGTGTTTGTCAGTGTTTTTTCAGAAATGTGTTTAAAATACTTGAAAAAATACCCATCTTAAAGCCATGTTTACCCACATATTTTCAGCAAGCAGAAAATGAAGCTATTTGCTTTCTTCTCTAATATTCCAAGCCCATGTAAAATTTTAATGGAAAAGTTTATGTTTTAAGTTTCTAAGATGTTTGTCACCCTTTAGTATCCTGACATCTAAACATGATGGCAGCTTAGTTTTACTATGCCACTAGGTGACCAGGATATTTTAGATTAGGACACTATTTTAACAACAGTGAGTTAAATTGCCCTTTCCTTTTTTTTTTTTTAAACAAGAATTTAGAAGTGGTAAAACTATAGCCTAAGATGTATTTGACCTTCTGTTGTTTCAATACATTCTTTTAATCATACATTTGTCCTTCCTAAAATACTTTGATGTACAAGTGTAGATATATGTGCCCACAAAGGCATTGTAAATATTATTTAAATAGTTGCAGTGAATAAAGTATTGTTCCTTGCTACATGATGTATTAAACTGTAGATTTTACAGTTTTTGGTTTTCCTGTCTCATTACTACCCCTTACATAGCTGAACTATTACTTTATATAAAATTTGAATTTTGTAAGTTTATATTTCATATAAGATCAAGGTATGTGGGCTGGACTTGGTGGCTCAGTCTGTAATCCCAGCACTTTGGGAGCCCGAGGCGAGTGGATTGCCTGAGCCTGAGGGTTCAAGACCAGCTCGGGCAACTTGATGAGACCTCATCTCTACAATAAATCAAAAATTAGTTGGGCGTGGTAGCGTGTGCCTGTAGTTCCGGCTACTTGGAAGGTTGAGGCAGAAGGATCGCGGGAGCCCAGCAGGTCAGCACTGGGGTGGTTGTGAGCATGCCACTGCCCTCCAGCCTGGGTGATAGAGTGAGACTCCAACCCAGTAAAAAAAAAAAAAAAAAAGATCAAGATATGTGGCCCCAGAACCAAGTCTGAAAATAATCCATGGGTTTCTTAATGATAATGAGAAAAAGTGTTTTAATCATTCCTGTTGCCATGGGAAGTACTTGGAGCCTTGATTTCATTAGATAACCTTGTTTGCCTGCCTTGTTTGGTCCACTTATCTGCTGAGTGTAATAAATATTTGACAAAATACACTTTTAATTTTATGCAGCCCAGGAACCTTCACATCAGAGCAAGCAACCCCACAAGAAATGGCTGAAACATTAAAGCCTTTTGGCTAGCCAAGTTTTTCCATTTAAAGTCTGATTGGGAGAACGTGTGATGGTATAATCTCTGACACAAGTGAGTTCATATTTATAGGAGTATGTGTTTAGACTCTTTCATAGAGAAAACCACCATACACATTTTTTTAGTCTTTTCATATGGGTTTCGGTGAAAGCAGTCACATTCACTTCTTTGTTATTCCTTTTAATCTATTTTAGGTAACTATGTATTTCAAATGAAATATTTTTATCAGATACTGATGAGTGGCTAGCAGGATTAAGAAGTGACTACAGATTATAGACTATTCCTTGATATGAGTAAGATTTTCTTCCTTTTTTTTTCTTTTTAAGCTTTTTTGTGGAGACGAGGTCTCACTATGTTGCCTAGGCTGGTCATGAACTCCTGGGCTCAGGCAGTCCTCCCTTTTTGGCCTACCAAAGTCTGGGATTACAGGCATGAGCCACGGCATCCAGCCAATTTTCTTATGCGCCATTTTTAACAGCTGAAGATTTTGCCTTCTGTAAAAATTAATAACAATGCCTTTGCAGTGCAGCCATGTTGTGGGGAAATTGGAGAAGGAAATCAATGAACGTGTGTAAAAGATGTTGTGTATAAACCATTTTTAAATAGCCTCGTAAACAATGGGTCAATCATAAGTATATATAGCTTGGCGAATTTTCACAGGGTGAACACACCGTGTAACCAGCACTCAGATCATGAAATAAAAAAATTATTGATGTTTCAGAAGCCCATTTGTCCCCTTTCTCAGTACCTACCTCTCCCAATGGTAACAACTATCCTAGCTTCTAACACCATAAGTTCATTTTAAATTGATTCTTTTTTTAAAAAAAGATGTAATATATATTTTAACTGACACAATTTTGCGTGTATATGAGGTAGTGTGATATTTTGATAAATGTGTGCAGTGTGTAATGATCAGGGTAATTAGCATAACCATCACCTCAAACCTTTAGTTTTATTTGTGTTGGTAGCATCATAGATATGTTTTAACTAAAAGAATATTTTTAAAAGTCTTGTTTTAAAAAATTGTCCAGAATTGTATAAAGTAAAAATGTGCATTTTCCTCATTTTCCACGTTTAACATCATTTCTAGATGTTACCACCATTAATAGTTCAGTCACCCTGCCAAGTCATTTATTTTCTTCATGTATAATCTTGTATTCTTTTTATGAAAATTGGATCATACTTTTCATATTGTTTTGCAACTTGTATCCACACATTTAAAAGCATGGATACCCTTGTAAAATTTTTAAGTGTGAATTTCACAAATTATGACATGCAACTATGTCTGAGAGCTATGGCAACAAAAAATTTGTATATAGCAAATCAGTAGATCGGGGAGAAACCTGGATGACAGTCTTTTTTGACCCACACTGTTCAGCATTTCTGAGAATACTGTGGAATACTCATTATTATTTCTACAAAGTATATTTCACAGAACACTACTCATTGAGGATTCCCTACCATAAGAAGGGTTCCATGTCAAAGGAGAGTGAGAAATGCAGCCTACTGGGATGTTGATTGTGTGCCTTGACAATACAAGTCCCTAAAGTCTTGTAACACAGAATCTCATTTGATTTGACTCAGTAATTTACAAATTCCTTTGAAACATTGGGCTTTAAAAAAAAAAAGTTTCAATGAGAACAGTACAGTGAACCCTCATAACATTGAACCCAATTATCAGATTTTTCCATATTTATCTGGAGTTTTTTTCTCATTCTTTTCCTTTGATATGGAGTATTTTAAAGCATCATTTCATCACTACATACTTATGAATCTTTTAAAAATAACACTTTTAATATAAAAAAGATTTATTAAAAGTCTAGTGATATCCCTAAGAACATACTTTAAACAATAATGTTCTAGATTAATAATGGCTATAAAATTAGAAAAGTGGAAAGTAATGATGATAGAGATTTAATGGTCTATATTCAAGAGAGTTTTTTATGTATCATATGGAAATAATTACTTTCAACATTTTAATTCTAATTCTACCAGTCTTTTGCATTCATCGTTAATAATACTTAAATAAAAAATTTTTTTGTAGAGTAACATTTTTAAAAATGTATGTTTTTCCACTTTCTAAAATTAGTTGAAGAACATGTTTCATGTGCCTGGACGTTACACTGACTTTGCTTACATTCCAAAAGGTGGGTAGAGTGCACACCACATGCCATGGACAAGAGCCCTGCTGTAACTCACATTTTAAAGACATGCAATGAAACCACAGGGCTTAAGGGGTCATGGGATTAGTGATACAACGCTCAAAAGCTTCGTCATTGATACATTAAAAGAAAGATAGGGACCCCATACAAACGTATTCTGTTTTTACATGTTAAGCATTTAAGAAATGTGTAAGTACTACCATAAAAGTGGCATTTGGCCTTGAAAGAGAACTGAAGTTTACTTGTGGGAGTGCAGAGTGCATGTGCAAGGATTGCAGCTTGTGGGTCACTGGGGTGTGATGGAAGAAGGGTAATTTGAAGTGGGGCAGGAGTTGCAGATGTGGATGGCTTTGGCTCGCTGTTGTGTGTGTTCATTTTGGGTATTTTCATGTGGCTCGATTCAGCAGGATACAGTTTTCTGTGTCCACCTAGTCTTTCATCTGGATGCAAACTCATGTAAGCAAGTATGAAATTCACATCATGCACAAATGGTTCCCCAACATATCCATGGTGCAGGAGCAAAGTCACACTTTGGAAATAGTTATAGCAGAAATAAACATATATACATAATTTATTTATGAGATGTATTTTAAATTAAATTTTCCTTTGACTTTTATATTTAACAAAATTGGAAATATGTAACCACCCAATAAGAGCTTTGGTGTGAATGCAGTTGCAAGTTCTAGAATCAGGATAGTAAGGCCTTACTTTGACACTGACTTTTCCAGCCACAGCCTTATAAAGTGTCCCCTCATTTGTGAAGAGGCCATCCGTTCATATCTCTTAACATAGTAACAGCCCATTTTGTAAGCTCTTATATAAATGCCTTAAGTTCATATTTACATATATCTTAAGCCTTTAAAGTAGATGTTATAATATGTTGAACTTGATGAATATATGTGTTTTATTAGTGAAAAAAAGTTTTAAATAACGAAATAAGTGTTATAAGATCTACAGCCCCTATTCAATTCCAGAGCTCCACAGATTTTTTAAAATCAGATTTTGTGTAATTTTTGGCAGTAAAGACTGACTTCTGCTAATGTGAGAATACTGATGGTCTTTATCCTACGTCATGTGAACACTCAAAGACTTTGCTGCAGAAGTGTTCACGTTTGACGATAGGGTATTGCCCCAGTCCCCACTGGGGTTGTTCTATAAATACGGCATATGCACCAAGTAATATTTATTTTTATAACTAAGTAATATTTGTTTTTATAACGGAAAAGATGATGCTTAGAAAAGCTAAGGAGTTTGCCAAGAATCCCACAGCTGGACAGTGGCGATACTGGGAGTTTGAACTAAGGTTGGCATCAAGTAGCTGCAGTTGTTTTGAAACTATACGTTGCCTGCATCAACCATGTGGCTAACTCTGTACATATGGATGACTACACAATAAGCATCTTCACTACAGAAGACAAATGAGACTTGGCAATTTATTTCTTATAGCTTTTCATTTATGGGTAAAAGTCAGTAAATTGTACCCCAGAGTTGTTACTCAGTGCATTTTATAACTACAAGCAAATTACGTTTAGCTCACATTGTTTGTATTAGAAAC